ACCATAGAGAAAATCAAACACTTAGCGTGAAAAAAGATATTTTAAAAAATCATACTAAAGTTACACTTGTGTTTGGTACTTTGGTATCAAAATACATAACAGGATATAGAAATAGGTAGTTAGACCTACATGTAGAGTTTTCCACCTCTTCCGTATTTTCCCAAGTTCTGTTCTTTCCTTCTCCCCTCCTCCATAATAGCATCCTGAGAATGCAAGCATATCAGGTTCAAACCTGTAAAATGAATTAACTCATATCAGTAAGCTTTCTAATGACTATATTTCTGAACTAGATAATCAACATCACACTGCAGCCATTATTACTGCCAAGCAATCCCCAGTACCCAAAGAAATCAAAAAGTACAGTTTAAATAATTAAAAGTAACTTTAGAACTCTTTAACTGACAAATTATTGTGTAATGGTGCTAATAGATTACAAACTTATGAAGCGCCCTTAATCTTATGATCTTATCCTCAACATGTTTCATATGCACCTTCATTATGGTTGAAATTATGAAGGCAGTAAAATTGGTTCAGAATTACTGGATTTGATTCTATAATCCAGAACTAGAACTAAAAGTAGTCAAGAACAGAGTATGAGAAAAAAGGAAAAGTGAAAGAAATAGAATATTCAAGCCCAGAGAGAAATTGACAAATGACAACTAACCTTAGATGAAGCGTAATATAATGCTTGCTCCTCAACCTCATTCGCTGGACCAATTCCTTACCCATTTCAAGTATAGGGTCAGCAAACTTCAAAGCATGATAATTAACTCTGCATCTCAGCTTTTGCAACTCGGTCTGCAACCTATTTGAAAGTCTGTAGTCAAACTTGGTGAGTCTAACTACCTGCAGAAAACACATAGGTTATACTGGCCTAGAATAAAAATGATTCAATCAAGACCTTACTAACACTTACATACAAATCAATGCAAATATGCAATATCCACTTTTCTATCTACAAGCAGGACAGCTACATAGCAATTGACAAAGTTAAGGACTATTTTCCAAATTGACTGCGGGCTATGGATATCTGCTGTATATTTCTCAGATTAAGTCCCAGAACAGGGCTGCTGTCCCTTTTAGATCTAGATTACATTTATGCTTAGTCAACAAAGGCTAGATCACAGCTAGGTATAGATTCAGCAAATTCAATTGGCAGTGAGACGTTGGTAAATTTCAACTTATGGGGCTAGCCTGGTTTCTTAAAATGGATTCACGACTTCTGTATTTATTATGCACTGGAAATTCTTATTTCACCATCCAAAAGAAACTGCAGCAATTCAGCATGAGAGTACAGATCTACAGTTGCATATCTATAGTTATTTCAGCACAATAATACAATGTAGTACTTCCATGTTCAGTAAGTAAGAATTCACTTTAATCACATAATATTATGTGATAATTTGGTACAACAGCTGTTACTGGCAAATAGATGTGTAAATTGTCATAGGCATTCCACTGTCAGACAATATATGTAAAAACAACTAATAAGAATATAGATGTAATTAAGAAACATATACTGCTAAAAAAATGTACAAAAAGAGTTGAGGAATAAATTATTAACCAATAAGGCAAACCATTTTTTTTTAATCTTTTTAACAAGTTTGTACAGAAAGATGCTTCTGAGCTATTCTCAATATGTTTATGTCTACCATAAATAAGTAGAAGACATACACGCTTTTTTGAATATTCAGGCAGCAGCCGAGTTAAATAGCATTTTTCATTGCACTTTCTGGGAACCTTTCTAGTATGTGGAACCCATATCTGTCCTCTCCTAGGCGGGAGCTCTTTTATGATTTTAACATCCTTTGTAAGATGTGATATAAACCAATCGACATCAAATATGTCTGAGAAATCACTGCAAACCAAAGGACTAATGTTAGTTAAGTTTCAGAATTGCATGTAATAGTCATAAGCTCTTTTAAGTTTATTAACATACCACTAGCCCTAGACCTTAGTATAAGAAAGGCAGTGAGCATAAACAAAGGAATTCTCCATTACTTGCCTAGAATCTTTCCAGAAGGATTTCTTGTCCAAAGTAGGAACAACAAGGGTAGCATTCAAAATTCGAGCAGCAACAACTGCATCTGTTATCTGCCATATGCAGCCCAAAAGAAATCCACACCATATATATTTAATCGCTAAGCATACTTTTGTGAACCCACACAGTAGACTAACAGCAAGAACTTAAATACAGTAGTGCCCAATAATAGAGCTAATAATTAGTAGCATCATCTTTTTTACGACAGCATCCAAGAACACAACTTTAAGCAAATACAGAATCACTATCATTGTGCAGGTTTGAACATGTCAGTAAAGGTCCAGTCATCAAATGCTTTAAGACATTTTCCTTCTAACAGTAAAAGTAATTGGAGATTCTCCACGTAAAAGTAAAAAGAGAGAAATTAAAAGCCAAGGCCCAAGGGCTAAGAAACTAAGAAAGTTCAAACATAATGACTTGCATAAACTATCAAGAAATAGGTAATGGGAGTTATTACTGTCAAAAACAGATTTTCAGCCTTCTGGTTATAGAACCTCAACAAGAAACCTTTCCCTCAGATATTGTGCCTTAAAGCAAGTATTCTTAAATACGTATGTAAATAAGACAATGAAGAAATTAAACGAGATAACTATGAACAACTAGTCATATCACAGGTTTTGTCTCACTAATTTGACATCAAATTCCTAAACCAACAGTGAAAAATGTGTTCAAAAATTACCCCCGTCCTCTGTTGGTTAAGACCCCCACTGGTTGCAATCAACAAGTATCGATTTGGATGTGTGATGTCTTTAGCCTCTGCAGATTGGTCAGAAATGTAAGACCCAGAACCACCAAATGACCAAAAGGACTATGCATATTAAGAAACTTAAGTGTTACCAATTTCAGTTTATGTACAAGCAGTATCCTACTAATGTGGTAATATGTAAGAAAGAAATTGATTATCTAGGGGGTGAGGAATACAAAAGAACAGAGTATGGAGGTCTTATGAAGCTTACTCGCAAATTTGGTACTGGAATTACTACAACCATAGAAGAATTTGGCATTTTTTGACCTCCAAAGATCCCGATCATGCACTGTTCCACTTATCTAGATCCCAAAAATGAATACCAATCACATTTTAGAAAACTCAGATCCAATCAAAGCAACAACTTGATAAAGGCAAAGTAGAGCATAAGCCGAGGCTGAAATTAAACCCTAACCGGAACATTAAACACCGGGACTCCAATCTCATTAATAACGCCCTCATTGACCTGAAACACAAGGTTGAATAAGCTCAATAACTCTGCGTCCATACATACATACAATAATGCCTGTGGATTTTCACGCGTAAAAACACAAACGCCGCAACTAGCCAGGGCTGTCAGATGTGCACTGTAGAGGGAGAGAAAGGTGAGTAAGTTACCGAGATATGGCGGCGGAGGAGTTGGAGTTGATGGTTATCAGTGAGAGGAGGGGCGAGCGAGAAGAGGAAGAAGAAGAAAAGGAGAATGAGGCCGGAGATGGCGGAGATAGCCGGAATTAGAAAGCGCACACGGGTGGTATACTGGTGGCGCCGCCGATGAAACGCCATGTGGAAACGGGTGGCGTATAGACTGGCTTCCCCCCTCTCTGAACCCCTCTCCTCCTGATGAAGAGGGAAGAGATTTTAGAGAGGAGAAGGAATTTGTTCAAGCGGGGAAGGTTTTACCAGAAAGAGAAAGAGAAAGAGAAGGCGCCTCTCTCCTGTTGAAGCGGGGAAGGTTTTACGATGGCGACAAGGATGTGTTACTGTTTTCTTTCCGCAGATTCAAGTATTCCAAACGCTGCTACCACGAAATGATTATGGCTCCTTTTTGCCTTGTTGGAGCGGTCAAATTTTTCTTTTTTTTATACATTGGAAAAGGGTCAAATACATCTTTGAACGACAAAAGAGTAATTAGACCCTTCAACTTTAAAAAGGTACAATTAGTCCTTTCAATTTGTTATTTTGAGTTAAATAAACATAATAATAAATTTTTCACCTGAAATAATCGGTCAAAAAATTTTGACGACAACAAATATTTTTTTAAAAAAAAGCTACCGGATAAGACAACCGTTCGGTTGTCTTCTCCGGTGGAGAAGCCGATCAGATCAAGTCGTCTTCTCCATTGGAGAGGACGACCAGTCCGGTCGCCTTCTCCACTTGAGAACGCGACCAGTCCGGTCGTCCTATCCAGTGGAGAAGGCAATCATATTTATTAACTCAATGAGTTTTTTGCACTTTTGGTCCCACGACTATAGTGGCACTATCAGAATTGATCCACGACTTTCAGACATTGCAATTTTAGTCCACGATTATTGTTTTTTTTTGGCAAAAATGATCCTTCCGACCACTTTTCTGTCAAAATTCCACCGAAGTAAAATTTCTTCATTTTTAAGAGGGCTAAAAATTTGACATTTCCCTTAACAATTCTTCCTAGATAAAAAAAACAATTCTTTATTGCAAAATATGGCAGCAAACAATCAGTAATACAAGCCTCTTAAACATGTCAACTTTAGCCTTCTTAAAAATGAAGAAATTTTAGTCCGGTGAAATTTTGACGGAAAAGTGGTCGGAAGGACCATTTTTGTCAAAAAAAAAAAAAAAAAAAAAAAAAAAAAAAACAATAGTCATGGACTAAAATTGCAAGGTCTGAAAGTTGTGAATCAATTCTGATAGTACCATTATAGTCGTGGGACCAAAAATGCAAAAAACTCTTAACTCAATCATATTTTGTCTATTTAACCCTTCCTTGTGAATTCATTTTCTAATATTTTTTTATTATGGTGATAGTATTGTTTGGGAAGAGAAAAGGTATATAAAGCAAACTAGTATTTGACCCGTGCGATGCACGGGATGTTATTTAAGTATTTTTAGTTGTGCGTGTTTTATGTTAAGATTTGTGTTATATATTGGGAAATACAATTTCGACACGTAATCAAATTGTGTCTTACTAATAGTTCAAAGATGTTGTCAATATAAAAACAATATATTACAAAATTACAAATTATTGAAAACTTCATGATATACAACATTAGTGGTTGATGTAGTAGTTGCACTTGAATCTTTTCCAATAAGTATTTTCAAACCGTCTGGATTATTAACACGAGATGCAGCTACGTACAACTGACCATGTACAAAAACCGGTTTCTTTAGTATTAACCCTACATGTTTCAAGGTTTGGCCTTGACTTTTGTTTATTGTCATTGCATATGAAAGCATCAACGGGAATTGCCTTCGTTGGAACTTGAACGGCAATCTGGGATCCGAGGGTGACATTGACATTCGGGGTATTAACACTTTCGTACCTTTGTTGGGCCCAGTTAGAAGCTCGCCTTCAATAACATGGTCTGCTAACTTTGTGATTATCAACCGAGTTCCATTGCACAACCCAAGAGAATGATCAATATTCCTCATTAGCATTACTGGTGATCCAATTTTCAAATTCAGTGTATGGTTTGGTAGACCCGACACACGGATGCTGTTTAGGAATTCCGGGGTGTGTACATCTCCAAGTATCCCATTATCACCGTCGGCTTTGCATACTGCGTCTGAACTATAGTAGAACCTACTTTCGGCATCATGCAGCTCAGTCATATATTCATTAACTGCATGGACAACGTCCAGCGTTGGTGCAAGTATAGCACGACCTATCAAATACTCTGGGTCAGCATTTCCAAATGCAAACATTGGAAATGTACTTTCAACAATTGCTTTAATGTCGTCGGTCCCGGGGGATACTAACATGTGGTTAGGTATTTGGACTTCTGCCATCCCGTCATTCCTGCCTCCAATCTTCCCATCTTCGATATTGGCAATCCAGTTAGCGAACTCTGTCAATGACTGCCTATTACCAGAACTGCTAGCCGAACTTAGCCGTAGGTTTTTCGTCAATCTAAAAACTTTGCAACTATCCCATAAATACGATGCATTTATAGCGGATGAAACAATGTCTTGACGTGAACCTTTTGGAACAACTGGGAGAATTTGCCGGAAATCTCCACCCAGTACCACGGTTTTACCACCAAACGTCTTCATCTCACTGTTACTGTCAGCAAAACGCAGTAAATCTCGCATGGTTCGATCTAACGCTTCAAAGCAATGTTTGTGCATCATTGGAGCTTCGTCCCAAATTATCAAACTCGTTTTTATCAACAATTCAGCCAAGTCGCCACCCTGTTTAATGTTACACGTAGAGTCCTCATTTATTGAAATAGGTATTGCAAATCTAGAGTGAGCTGTTCGGCCACCTGGTAACAACAAAGAAGCTATGCCACTTGATGCGACATTTAAAACGATCTGTCCTTTGGAACGAATTGAAGCAGGCAATGCTCTCCATAAAAAAGTCTTTCCGGTACCACCATATCCATATACAAAAAATAATCCACCTTTATTGCTTTCAATATCTTGCGTAACAGTATTGAAAATGAGCCTTTGTTCTTCTGTTAGTTTGGAAAACATCATTTCAGAATCTGCCTTCAATTGTTCTGAATTGTAATTCAGTTCTTCAAACACCAGTCGATTATGAAACAACCTTGTATTATCGGTACTTGGTGTGGGCATCGGAGGAAAATCATTTAAGGATTTGTTCTGTTGACCCAAAAGGTGTTCCAATTCCAATAATCCAAAGTTCTTTTTCTCCTCTACTGTTAAAACCAAATCTGTTACAATACCAAGACCAAAATTGTTATAATTTGTTAACTTAATAAACTTCCGGAATAGTATATTGTAAAGAAACATAAGAAAACTGACCTTGTTGTTTTAATAATCTTCTTTGCTGGTGCTGAGCATCTTCACAAAGATGTTCCCAAACTTGATTCCAAACATTTTCGGGTCTAATAATTGAGGATGATGTTAGTAAAACAACAAATAGCTTCCTCAATGAGTGTGCAGTTGACCAATAGCTTGCCTCATTTATAGCATCAACATACTCCTTATCGTCATCTAGCAGTCCATGCGCATAACACGCATCTCTAAACGTCGAGTACTCAACACCGTTAACTGTCCTGATATCTTTGAAACTTTTTGGACCACGTACTATGTTCAATAGACATCTCAAATAATAAATTTCGCCTGAAGCTGGAGGTACATAGAATATTCTACCAATTGAGGATCTATTTGACTTTCTTGGATGCCATTCACGGATGTCTTTTTTCCACACAAATTTGGTAGGCATCTCAATGTAAGTCAACAAACACGCTTCTTTGAAAGTCTGATTCGCTAAAAACCAACCATTAAACATACTTTGACCAACTGTTTCTCTATTTAGTACATTATCAATGCTATCATCGTCTTGGAAAACAACTGATTGACAATCAGGTAAGTGGAAGCTTAATCGCTCAACAGGGGGTGTCCTATACTGTATTTCAAAACTAAACAATCGCCAAGCTGCTTCGCATGCAGATACATATCTGCAATCATAGTACATGTTTATCTCATCCACAATCTCATTACCCGCTTCGTCCATCGAAGTCTTATAGAACTCAGCAGTTACACGGTCATTGCCCTTGTTGACGTACTTGAAGAGATACTTGATTGACCGAGATTGGTTACACCACTCTACATTAATGTGAGCTTTGTATTTCAAAAGCAAGTACCTATTATGTGGTACAACATATCTATTATCCAACTCTATTCCATTCTTTTTTATTGTCTTCTTATCATCCCTTCTTCGGTACAACGGGTAACCATCTTGGTCAAAATGTGATGCATCAATGTATCTTTTTGGAAAATGCTTTGAACACTTCCCATTTGCCATGCACGGGGATTTAATTCTTGCAACACCGCATGGGCCGTGCAACATGAATTCTTCGACAGCTTGGTAATACTCAATGTCTGAATGCTTGTCGGGAATCTCGGCTGAAATGATCGTGTCCATAAAAGCCGGATCGGCAAAGTCGGTGGTCGCTTGAAGGAACAATAATATATGCGCATGCGGCAGACCACGCTTTTGAAATTCAATCGTGTATATTACTGTCATAAAGGCAAAAATATTGTAAGATATAACCTTCATATAATAATATCTATTATTTTTAAAACTGCCAATTATATGCAATTGAAAGACGCACCTGCCTTTACACGACCAAATAGTTTCCCATTTTTTATTTCTTTGATTAAACAGTCTAGCTTAAGTTTGAAAACACGGCAGACAATGTCGGGACGATCTTCCGCTTTCAAGTTTCTTTTCTCCACGAATCGTTGTATCTCGGGCCATTTAGGATTACATGTAAATGTAATAAAAAGATTTGGATAACCTATGAATCTGCAAATTGCCATGGCGTCTTGATAGTTCTGTATCATGTATCTTGCTCCTCCGGTGAAACTTGATGGTAATATTATTCTTTTCCCTGTCGAGCTGGGTTGAACTTCACCGCGCGTAAGCGCATCAGACAGCCCTTTGTACGCCTCACACCTCAAAGCTTTTTGATTTGACCTAATATAGAGCAACCTCGAAGACTCGACCATAGTATATGCATCAACCAAGAATTGTTGGAATAACCTTTTAGCATACATTATTGTTGAGACCTCATTTGATCTTTCGTGGATACGGAACGCGAAGTACTCTCTTTGTGAAACACTCTTTCTGGCAAAATCTTGTTTTGTACCAAGTGTTGCAAAATGTATATCTTCTCGAAAACCATCCTCCCCATATGGAAATAAGATTGGGTATTGCAATGGTAAATATGCCGGGTTTAATTCATTTATTCGTTTAAGCGCTCCAGACCTACACTCGACAACAATATCCCGTTGACCCATGTACGGGTCTATATCCCCAACAATCAGTGCAGCAACCTCGGAAGTAGTCGGTAACGCATAAGTCCTGGCATCTTTAGTCCTCTTCCCTATTAATCTCATTCTAATTTGCGTTTGAGGATTAGACTCCAGAAACGACTTGGCCATTCGGAATGACTTAACCAACACATTGTGTTCATCAAGCACTTGTTTAATGTCATTTACTACCTCACTATGCAATGCAGAACCATTGTTTTCGGCCCTAAACAAAGATGAATATATAATATAAGATTCTCTGAATTAACCGACTATTTGGAAAAGAAATTGCAGTACAACAAAAGAGTATACCTCAGAGAGTTTAATCGATTTTCTATCTCATTCTCTGTATCGTGAATGTATAATTGGGCAAACTTCGGTTGAATGCCATCTGAAGGTAATAAGCTTCCAATCCGATGAAAATTTTGACCATTTATACGGAATATAGGCGGCGATGTTCCGTTGTTAATAGTTCTGTCAATTTTCCCACCCATCGACGTAAAGCAAAACATACTGTTATATGACCTTATATTCTCTAAAAAACAATTGTTTTTGTCATGTGGCCTAAAGAATAAGTCATATAGCTTTTGAGGAGGCTTTGTCATAAATGGCAACTTTATTTTCCCATTGACGCAACACGCTGAGTATTTTGGACTTTCACGTGACTTTGATATGCTAGACCGTTCATTGTACCAAAACAATGAATTACAATGCTCGCAAAGATACTCTGGATCACCAAGATCAAAATAATAATCTAAAAAAAAAATATTAGTTACCATGATACTGTATTTTAGTGTAGTACATGTTTAATACCCTTTTATTGTAACACATTTCATATGAACTCACCAGTAATTGAGGGACTATTGTCATGTAAGGGTTCAACAACGTTTTGGAAATCTGTCAACAAATTCCGGTAATGCGGAATGGTTTCAATATCCGGCTCAACCGGCACTGGTCTTATATTGTTGTCACTTGAAAGGCAACAATTACTGTACATCCCTAAAAGAAAAGTATCCCATTATAATTACATTGATTAAATATTTATATAAGCATGTTAACTGCGTGACAACTACATATATAATATTAAATAATATGAATATATATTTATACCTATCTGCGACTCTGGTGATATATTTAAGTCGAAACCCAAATTTTGACGATTAGATGTAAGTGGATTGCCGGCGACAACATGGACTTGACCGCAAGTTGCTATAATAAAAAAGATATGTTAATAAGTATTAAATTTGTATATATATATATATATATATATATATATATATATATATATATATATATATATATATAATTCATTACTAATCTTATTACAATATATTTGTTGAACTTCATACCAGTTGATATGTTGCTAAATGGCATCCTGCAACTCATTTCTTGCGGTGGTGTATTATGTATGATCATACGTAACGGAGATGAAACTGTGCATTCTAACAACATCGATTATTATTAATCATTAGAACATGTAAATGACACCAGGGTCCTAAATTCCAAAAAAAGGTATCATTGGATACTATTTTTATACCTAGTTCTGAGTGTGGGGTTTTATTTAAGTCGAATGAATGATTGTGGCGCCGGGTAATAGGTGCTCTTTCACGCTCATGGTCAAACCTTGCGGAATTTCCTTTAATTATATAAGAGTCGTACATAACACTTGTTAGAATGTTAATTATCACATTTTTTAAAATATGGTACATCAAAAATGTGTGTTTAGGTTCGTACTATTGGATATGTTGCTTAATGGTGTTCTGCTACCCGAATCTTGCAAAGGGGAATTACGAATTGTTGTCCGAATTGCGCTTGAAGCTGTCAATTTCACATTAAAAACATGTTAGCAACAATTAATTATAATCTTGCACAATCGTATAGAACACTCTTACCATTTGTCACAATACTTAAAGGCGTACTTAACGAACTTTGGAAAACACCACGTAGGGGTGTACGATTGTGTGTATTGTTGCCGAATTCAACGGACGACATGTACGATTCATCACTGACCCCTCGATTATCATTCTCTGTAAAAAAAAAAAACAATGATATAATTATATATTGTATATTTGGTATCACAATTTTTTTGATTCATACAGATTCCGAATTTACTCCTTAAATGATAGTTTGTAAAGGATGGATTTACTTTAAATGTCTAGAGTTTATAAACATTTGATGGACACAAATCGCAATAATAACAAATTAATATAATAACATACTATTATAAAAATTGCACTAATATTAAAAAACCTAATAATATTTATAATTTATAATATTAATAATAACAATTAGAAAATCCACAATTTCTGGGCAGTGTTAACTATACTGCCTAATTAATATTAATATTAATAATAATAATAATAATAATAATATTCAGATTAATAATAATAATATTAATACAAACATACGGACACCACTACCGCACTACCGGTTCTAAGCACCCGCATTTCCACCAACATCACTACTCTCTCTGTCTCTCATTGCGTAGATGCACTCCCATTGCTCATGTTCTTCACTCTGGAGTTGTTTGAACAACATCTCCAGAAATTCTACCCGAAGACCATGCGCAAACTACTACAAATTCTTAGATGAATTTCCTATTCCGATAAGTTATCTACAATATCGCTCAGTTAATTCCATTTCTATGAAACAATTATGCACAATTAGAGTAGATACCGTGAAACCTAACTGTTGAGGCTTTGTTTAACTACTAAGTCCCATTAAAGTGTAGATATGATGAAATCCTTCATTGTTAATCGCATGCATCTGTAATCTGAGAAAAAAATGGATTTTAAACAAAGTATCTATCTATCTTGGGGGATTCGAAGTTTTAACCTGTATTTTTGTGTGTGTATTTTTTCTTTGAATTTGTTGTTTGCATATTTATTTTAAAAGATACTATAATATTTGTCAGGTGAATGTTGGGATGAAGAAAAAGTGGGTTTTGATTTCTAAACCTAATTCTTTTCAGCTTCCTTAATCGTTTTTAATATCTGTAGTATTGTTTACAAAAATCGTATAGTTTTTGTATAAACTAAGACAGAATAGTATAACTGCAAAAAGAGTGCTTAGATTTACCTTGGTTGTTGCTTGGATGCTTGCGCTTCGAACCAATGGTGGTTGAAGATGTAAGTTTCCTCATGTATTCTAGGGGAGATGAATTGCCAAGTTAGGGATTTCTGTAGATGTGGTTTTAACAGAGGTTTATAATATGTGGTTGTTAAATATATAGCTGCAACTTAGTCCATTAATATTTGCAGACAACCTTGGAAAATGTCAATTATAATTGCTTTTGGAATACTAAAAGGTTTTGATCAGATAGTTAATGTAATGTGCCATTAATATATTAGCTGATTGATATTCTTACTACTTGTTTTTCCCTACTAAACTGTATTTCTGAACTTTTTTTGGATTCGAATAATGAACCTTATTTATCTAATATATGTTGTTTTGCAGGTCACAATCACTGTAGAATCTTGGGATTAAGAGACTAAAATTTGGATGAAAATAAGTTGCTTGGAGTTTGATATCAAAAGCAACTCTTAACTGTATGAACCTCTGTTGAATAGAGCACAGAAAAAATAGATGTTGGATCTGTTTCTAGAACATAATGGGAATTGTACAAAAGAGGTTGCTACGCTTGTATGTAAGATAAGTTTTACATTTATAAAATTGGTTTAATCTAATTAGGCTTACTATGATTAGAATATTGTCTATCTATTCGTAAATAATCTAATGTTTATATGATTTGAATACAATTAATAAAATTCTACAATTGCAGGGAATGAAAGACATTCAGTACTACACTATAGGTGTTTTAGTATCGTATAAAAAAGAGGATGTAAAGAATATCATAGGAACGGTTAATACGCACAGCTGACAAATAAGTTTTTTTCGGGTTACCAATGTCTGATATTATGTTATTACCAACTTGCAGATCCTTTTGTGTGTTCATTCATTAGACACTGTTTATAAAGAGTTACCCAGCTAATTCTGTTTTTGGCAAATCCAGCTAATCGGTTATATCAACGTTACCAGCTAACATTAATTAAGGAAGCGTTGTAATATCAAAGTCTGTGAAATGAAAGGGTAATCCACTAATCAGCACCAAGTCCATAACTATCTTTCCAATATAAATCCATTTGTTAGAATTTGACTACTGATTTAGCAATCCATTGATATTTTTAATCAACAACTTGTTTTTTAAAGTGCAGTTAGGATAGTATCAAGCAAATGTTGAATAAAGGGCCGGGAAGTTTTCATCAAAGGACTTTGAAGTGAGCTTAAAGATGACAGAGGGTGGTAAGTACATAATCAGAACTATTTATACGCAATTGGATTGCCAATTTATGTATTCATTAACAGAATAAGTTTAAGCCTTGCTTTAAACATCTTCTAATGACTTATATTTTACCAAACCTCTAAAGGTGTTGAGTAGCAACCAAGGATTGATAGTGATATGTTTTAATTCTACATTAAAATTTTCAAGTTAGAGTACTAATTACTTTTGATGGTTTATATAGAATATTACAATGGTATAAGCTGTTTACATTATTATTGGATTTAATTTTGGGTGACAATGAGAACTTGCTTGACATACTCTTTAATGTAGGTGAATTTATAATTTGGCATAGAAAATGTATGATTAGAATTATTAGTTGGAGCTTAGAATAGATCTTATAAAATCTCTAGTAACAAAAAAAATGACATTACATTAATCTACGATAAATAACTTCCCGTTCACTTATTACATTAAAAAGTAGTCCTTCAAACATCCCTTTCAAGTAATTATTTCAATGGTGTGTTTGCTAGATGTTATCTTCATCTTCCTCCTCTTTTGTCTTATCTATGCCATATTCTTCATCTTGTTCTTCCGCGACAGCCATCTCTTCAGATATTTTTTCCACCATCTCTAAACTTGTTCCTTCGTTGTAGCATCTCTCACTGCCAAAAAAAATCTGCAAAAGGACTATAACAAATCCAGTACACATAACATGACCTAGTAACAAATTGTGAGCATTCATAAAAAACAATTATTTAGGAATATAATCCTAAATGATTGAAAGTTTCAGTCTAGCTGTTTGAGTGTAACCCAAAAACTGTCAACATAAAATCCATTGTGAAAAAAAAGAGACCAATAGAGCACATTGTCAATCATTAAAGTCATTACAAATCTGAGTCCTTCTCAATCTTGACCACACATTCCTTGGTTTTTTTTGAACTTTGAGTGCTTGAAAATTCATCGATTAGTGATCTCTTAACTGTTCCATTCTCAACACCATTCTCTGCATCCAGCCTCTGTGCAACAACTTGGAGTGGACTTTCAGCTTCATTTGCTTGGTCTGCTTCCTAAAAAATAAGAAGTTCAAAGTGTATGGATATGCTCAATAGTAATAAATTCTACAGTAATTCGTACAAAATGTTACACTTGAACCCCAGGTATACCTCTAGATCCCATAGGTCCTCATCTGTCAGCTCCACCTCGAGCTTTGAACTGAGATCCCTGTCCCTAACTCCTATTAGTTCGGGTGCATGCTTCTGTACAATCTTTTCATCAGTGATGATCCTCATAACAGGGAAAGCATTGAGATAATTCTGGAACTGTTCCTTGCGAACAGCAATTCTAAATAAGATATTCAGTCCAATGAGAGTCTCGAGCTCCTTAGGCAGCCCCTTCCTTCCCTACATCAAGAGTTAGTATAGATTTTAATTATACTATATACCATATAATGTTTAGTTTCTATTCATCTTGATGGAATATATAATTTTAAAACAAAACTTCTCTATTTCAATAATCTTATAGTTTTGTATTTGTACCTTAGTATGGTTATCCTTCAGATCATCTGCACTGATTCCAAGTAGATCGAGACACTCCCGGTCCCATAGAAGGAAAGGAGCATTGCCATCCAAGTCCACAACCCTAACCTTAATTCTGTACCTGAGTGTCCCGTCACCCCAATTTCGATCACATGTACTACACCATAGCCACTTTCCTTTGAGTTTCAGTTTTTTGTTGCACCCCTTTGTTCTACAGGAAGCATAGTACCACTCTGGATCATCAATGAATACAATCCTAGCTGCCACCCAAAAATCGCCAAACTGCATCATATGAAAGAATGTTAGTCCACTTTAAAACATTAACCAAATCAGTATATGAGTACTTATTTTTATAGTATCCAGGTGAAGACCATTGTGTCTATAACACTATTTAACCCATGAATATGTGTTTGATTGTGCAGGTATGTGGACAAAAACACAAGACCTGAAAGCAAATTAGTGGACTGCTCACTGGTGGAATATCAACAATTAGTGGACTATCAACAATTAACACCATAGCTGAAAGAGATAAGTACTTAGTGGTGGAGGGATAGTTTGTAGTCAGATTATTGTTAATATTTATGCATTAAAGCTATAATGTTATAGACCACATTGTCTTCTATTATTCCATACAATTCTTATGGTAAAATACAGGTTAAAAAGCCAAGAAGATGGACCTAGTCTACAACTTTGAGCAGAACTGAAAGGCTGATTGAAATGAAAAGAGTCCACATAGGTATTGTTTTAAAATCCTAATTGAGTTAATATCACAACATAATACAGATTAGGTATACCCTAGGCAGTTTCTGACTATTGAATAAATTTCTAAGACAGGTATATATCCCAAGAAGTGGGATACAGTGTGCACCATGTCAGCAGAACTTCAAAAGGGACTGAAATCATATTCAGTGCATATAAAGGTATAACACAGCAATATACAATTGCTCACAACTCTATTATATTTCCATATGAATTATATTTTTAAGTGCATAATGCTATGATCTGTCAACCTTAGAAGGAATTGTATGGTAAAATAAAATGAATAGGATCTATGTTGGTTAAACCCAGTATTACCTCCTTATCCCTGTAGATGTCATTGATAGTACGAACTTCCATATCAGCTCCTAGGGAAACAGAATATGAGCTACATTCTTGAAAACTTGACTGGGAAATTATACTGCGCATGGGAGTCTGTTCTTGGCAAATACTGGAAAAACATAACCTAAAATGAGCAACAATAATAGTTGTAAAACTTCATGTAGAACAAAAAAATTTCAGGGTACCTTTTCCTGAACTCTTCAAATGGGGGAGATTCTTGGTTGAATAGCAGCTGTGTTACATCATAGGAGCTACAAATCTTTACATCAGCACCTTTAAGAAGAACATTGTATATAGAGATTAGAAAAGCTTCTTGGTTAATAAGATAGTAGATAGTCGATAGGAGAAGTTATACGATTTACTGTACTTACTTTTTAGGCACACCCTTGCCCTGCAAAACTGGATCAGGACCAACAGTGGTTCTTGTGTAGTAGAATTGTAGAATGCCTCAATCTTGCTCACATGCTCATCCCACAAAGTACACATTAGTTGTATTCCACTGAAAATGATTAGAAACATATTAGAAACAAAGCCAAGTGTAAAATATATTCAAAATCATAGGCACTGGATCACAGTATTACTCAGTATCTTCAATGGTGAAGTCAATAAGCCTGGAGTTCTTGCCATTGATTAGCTTATCCTGTGGGCAGTGTATTTCGATCACTCGACCAATGACATCTACAAAATAAATATTTAGAATATAGAATAGTATCCATAATAGAATATAATTAGAAACCACATATTGATAGAAAATACTGATTACCAAATAAGCTTTTCTCATCCAGGCCTTCGTTAGACTTGATCTCTCTGAAGGTCTTGAGCCGATACATTTTCATAGGAAACTTAACATGCTTTAAATCCTTAACAACAGTCTGATAGTTAAATTTGATCATGTACTTCTGTGGGCTAGTTTTGTAGGAGTAAAAATTTGTGATAACACAAAAATTTTTGATAGCACACACTGAACCTTCCACAAAACTGTTAAGGTACTTATCCACGTACTCTTTGGGTATATGAGCGTGCAAGAAGGACCCCTATGTATGTGTAAATAACAAAGAAATGGACTATAAAATATGGGAATATGTAGAAAAATATGTACTGGGTCTAAATTTGTAGTAAAAAAACGAACCGTCGAATTGAAAAAACTGTATATCTAGATTTAAAGAATACATACCTCTTCATCATGGAAAACAACCTCTTTTGACCTAAACTTCGAAGTATCAGTTCTTTCAGGGATCTTATATGCTCGCACCACCCGAAGCTTAAGAGCCTGCCTGGTATTCATGGGAGATATCTGGCTAGCAAGAACAAACATTTTTTGCTATTCAAGAAGAATCAGAGAGGCTTTGTAGAGGGAGATTGTATTTTGTATTAATAGTTGTACATGCGTTGTATATATAAGGTCTGATGACCTTCGTTATTGATCGTAACCATCCTGATCAATAATTACCTAGAGAATAGTATAGTGCGCAGTCGATTGGTTTTCCGAAACAAAAAAAAATAAATTCATAGTGATTACCTTAAATACATTCTCTAATCCCATTGGATGGGAGAATGATTTGGGTAGATATATTGAACAAATTAGGTTTCCTATATACATGGAGCTAGTATACTGCGCAGTCCTTTGGTTTTCCGAAGCAAAAATAATAAATTCATAGTGTTTGCCCAAAACGGCGTCGTTCATGTTGGGCGGGAACTTTTTGCTCCTATTATTTTGCTTTAATATATATAGATATTCCTATGTTTCATTACTTTTGATTTATTATGTTTGTTATTTTGAAGTTACTTGCTTTTCAATGATCTTATGATGCTCTTTCTTAAATTACCATTTCAACATCATAATTATCATCATCCCAAATTCTCTGATTCTCACACAATCATGCTTCCAAGGTTGTCAAAACAGTACTATTACGTAATAATAATACAAAACAAACTGAAAAATATACAAAATGATATATAATAATTCAGCAAATTATAAAATGGCGAAAAGATACAATGACTATATTGTAAATAGAAGAGTTTGTAACATTTTTGTAAATAACATGATAATTATTTTAAAATGACATCACTTTAAAAATAATAATGATTATTTACAAGGTAGTATATGTTTTATACTTTTGTAAGGATTCGATCATGTGACCACCCAATTAAAATGGAAATAGATGAACCATCACACTACTTAGTAGTTAGTAGAGCACTTCTTTTTATTTAAAAAAAAAAAATGAAACATTTTGTCTCCAAAATAAGAAGGAATAACAATTTGCGTTCATCAAGTTATGCGATTATTACTTTTCAATTTGCCCATCAATTGTTTACGAAGTGACTTTTTTAATCTACCCTAATGGAATTTAGGAACATAAAGTCACTTGAAGGATGAAATATAACAATGCATATAATTACGAGACAAGAAAAGTACTTGATTTTTTTTATAATTTTAAAAACAAAAAAAAATGTTATTTTCTATTTTATTTATAAATAATAGTAGGTATTTAACCTTTTTTTTACTATAGTAAAATGTTCTCAAGCAACAAGGACAGATCACAAAACTAAAAAGAAAAAAAAAATCAGGTATAACAAATAGGAAATAATTTAACCACTCTAAATTAATAATCGGGTGAAATATTATCCAAACAAGTACCTTGGCCTAGACAATGCCTCGTCACATGTTTATATATTATCATTGTTAGTTATGCACCTCTCCGCTTAATTATATGATTTGTCCTATCAACATTATCATACCTACTAATCTACTATCTCATTTTTTTTTTATAATTTTTTTATTATTACATCATATTATTATGTACTGAAATTTAGTACACATTAAGAAAAACTTGGCTCAATGTTTGCATTTAATATAAAAGATAATTTTTTTTTTGAATGCTACTTACTCTATTACATTGTACTATCTGTTCAAATAAAATTTAAATGTTAACAATTCAAATGTGTAAGGATATGCACCGCTCCCTAACCTAATATTCTCTCTATAAGGGTTTTCCCTCATCCTTCATTGATCGGCCGCCGCCAACCGCTCGTTTTGCAGAGGCGGCGCCGGCCTCCTCTCGTTTCTTCCCCTACTCCGACCGTCTCTCAATCACTTGTCCTTCAATTCTTCGCCCTCTCCTCCACTGCCGACACCTCTTCCCGCCTCTCTTCCACCGCCAACATCTCCTCCGACCCCTCACCGACATTTCTTCCTCCTTCACCATCGTCCCTCGCTATCTCCAACTCCAGATCCAAGCTTCTTTACCTTTTTTCAGCGGTTCAATATATATATATATATATATATATATATATATATATATATATATATATATATATATACACACACACACACACACACACACATATTAGTTAGTGGTTTGGTGTTTAGGATTTGTTTCATATGTTGTTTCGTTAAAGTTATTCCCTCACGTGTTTTTAGCAGTTTTCCTCTCGTTAATTTGGCGAGTTCTTTTTTCATAAGGTGAAACAATTTATCTAATAATGGAGTATGTTTGTTTCATCCCGAACACCGAAGAAGATATGAACCTTGATATGCATTTCAGATTAATGGAGATATTGTCTATGGGCAGAAGAGTCGCAATAGAGTCAGACTTGGATAGCAAGATCATTAACAATATCAAAGAAGTTTCAGGTTCTCCAAACGAATTCAGCTTCAATCTTGAAAAACAGTAAGAGATTCAAGTTTCGTGTAGCATTTGAACTTTATTTCAATGTCTGATTGTAAGAATGTTTTATCATTCCATCGATCTTATTGTAAACTTTTCATCGTATAATTAATGAATTAGTTCTTTTATTTCAAAAAAAAAATGTGTAAGGCTATAAAAAGAAAAGATAAAGAACTATATATATATATATATATATATATATATATATATATATACACACACACACACACAACTATCAACATTAACCATCCAAATAAGGACACATTGTTTATTTAGGATTCATTAGAAAACACGAAAAAAAAGTTAATTTAATGTGATTCATTTTTTGAAATGTATTTTCATTTTTTAGTATTTTGCTAAAAGTTAGAAGAATCGGCCCATCATCAAAAGGGTATGGAGCGTTATGCTCTGCAATCATGTCCATCATATATGGTGCACATAGAAATCATGTCCATCATATATGGTGCACATAGAATTGGATCCATAATTTTTATACTATAGATTCATAATTATTGAACTCTATATTCACAATTACAAAACTCTATGTTCATAATTTTCGATGTTTATATTCTCAATTGTTGAACTCTGTATTCACAAATCACTGAACTATATGTTCATAATTTGATGACTATACAGTTTAGAAATTATGAATATATAGTATAGAAATTATGAATCTATAATATAGAAATTATGAATCCAGTTTGGAAATTATGAATCTACAGTATAGAAATTATGGATCTATAGTACAGAAATTATGGATCCAATTTCGTGTGCACTTTGCATGGTGCACACGGTTGCACAGGGCAAATTATGTTGTGCATCCGTGTGCACCATGCATGGTGCACACGGATGCAAAAAGGGCGTCATTTTACTTTTTAAAAAAAAAATCATTTTCGATTGTTGTTACGTAAACATATGTTCATAATTTTATAATTTCACATTCTGGATTTATAGTTATGAAATTATGGATGTGTAATTATGCAATTCTGGATTTATAGTTATGAAGTTATGGATGTATAATTATGCATGCAATTCTAAATGTATAGTTATGAAGTTATAATTTCACATTCTAATTGTATAGTTATGAAGTTATGGATGTGTACTTATGCAATTCTGAATGTATAGTTATGAAGTTATGGATGTGTAGTTACGCAATTCTGGATTTATAGTTTTGAAGTTATGGATGTGTAGTTATGCAATTCTGAATGTATAGTTATGAAGTTATGGATATGTAGTTATGCAATTATGGATTTATAGTTATGAAGTTATGGATGTGTAGTTATGCAATTCTGGATGTATAGTTATGAAATTATGGATGTGTAGTAATGCAATTCTGATTTTTTTTTTAAGTCGGACGTCAAAACGACGCTGTTTTTGCAACCGTGTGCACCATGCATGGTGCGCACGGTTGCATAGCATAACGCTCCCATCCCATCTATGATTTTTTTTGTGGGGTTCATTATGAGGTGGAAGAAAGAGAAGCTAAGAGGGAGAAATTTGGGTATGACTTGCAAGTGAAGTTTTTTTTTAATGGCCCGCCAGTAGAGAGAAAAATCATAGGATAGCTACAGCTCTGCGCGAAAACATGCCCTGTCGGGCGCGTGCAATGCACACGTCGATTGTCGCGTTGATGTGTTATGTCTTTCTCTCTCTCTCTTTTTTTTTTTTTTTTTTTGGGGGGGGGGGGGGGGGGGGGGAGGGGGTGTTAGATAAACTATTTTGCTTTTTTTTCTTTCCTATTTTTTCTTCTTTTCTTTTCATCCCTTCTTTCCTAGTTGGCACTTCAAAAACCACATAAAAAACACACGATGAGGATGCTCTTAATGAGCTAGGACTAATATTGGACTCAATATGAATCCAACCTAGGTCTATGAGTTGGAGGTCAAGACAAGTAAGACTATCCTTATCCCTGCAAAACTCTCTTATTTTAAAAGCGGGTCATACTTTTACATAATCATATTTGCAATTCGTTCACTATTTTATCTATATTTTTGTAATTTCAACACACTTTCAAAAGTGGATCCACATTTTACATCACTTTTTAAAATTATTATATTTCATCAATATTATTATTCAAATTATTAAACATGATTTTAAAAAAAAAAAAGAAAAAAAAAAAGAAAAAAAGAGTAACAAAAACTATCTCTCATTATAATTTTGCCACATTTTTCAAGACTGTCAATCTTTGCCAGGATTGCAAGCCGCCTCATATTTTAATAATAATAATAATAATAATAATAATAATAATAATAAATAGTGACAAAATGAACAAAAGACTTAAAATACATTTTTCCGAAATTATTATTAACAAAATATTTATATTTATATCAAATTATTATTAACAAAATATGCTTTGTTAAACAAAGTCATAGCAAACCCCAAGAAAAAGTTAATTAAAGTTGAAATTCCAAATCCAAAATAAGGGGGTTTGTCATTAAAACATGGTAGAGAGGGCTTGGTTCCTAACCTTATTCAAATGTTACTTATGTTAGTTGTTCCAAGTTATAAAAAAAGAAATTATTAAATTGCTTGTAAAAATTCTCTTAGTCAAACTTATTGCACCAAATAGACTTAGTATGTATTTTCAAATAATAATGGCGTGTTTCCTTAATAATAAGTTGTAAACACTTTATTTTTTAAAAAATAATTTTAAATTCATTTTTTTTTAGTATTATTGACTCTGTTATAATGTCTAGGCTAAAAAATAGCTACTGCAAAGTAACTGAAAACTGAAAAGCTATAAGTTAGAAGTTGAAAAATGAAGAGCAAACTAACTAATTATACTTGTGTTTGGTAAAATTAACTTTTTGATAATAATATAAAAAAATAAAAAAAAATAAAAAAAAAAACAAAAAAAAAAAAACTAAAAAGCACATCTTCATAATTAAATAGGATTATTTAGATATTAAATAAAATCTTATAAATATTATAGAACTAATTGTATAGAATTTTTAAGATAGATTTTAGAAATATAATAATCATAGTTATATGATCAAGTAAATCTCCACCATCCGGTTAAAGAGGTGAAATATGTATAAAGAACCAATACTGCCCCACTAAATCCATAATCTTATTCCAATAACCTGAATTGAAAGTTTTACCAAACATGCACTGCGAAATCATTTAAAGTTTGGCATGAAAGACATTTATTCATTCCATTTAGGAGACAAAAAACCTTACAATTTAGATAACACTAATTTTTTTTTTCAAACTTTGATAAATAAAAATAATAATAATAATGTGGCGAATACACAGCTAAGGTTTTCATGAATCACAATTATCACTTGTACTACAAATCTCCAAACCTGGAAAGGCAATTGTAACTCAAAAAACAAAAAGGCAATAAATTACACACTGGAATGTTTAATTTTCCCTATCTCGTTTTTCCAAGAATCTCCTAAAACTATTTTCTTTATGGCTATCAAAAGGGCATAGCAGACACAATCTGCCTACTGCTCTTTGAGATCCTAGAACAAAACATAAACAGTAGTAGCACTGAGGACAGCAAGAACAACCTAAAATATGTTCTGATTTCTTGCATTCCCAGTTCAAGCACTTCCATCTTTTTCCCGTACCTACTTCTTCTCTCCATCAAATAACCATTCAAGTAGTCATCAATGGAAACCCACTTCTCGAAACTGCTAGATGCTGAAGCGTTCGAATGAAACTCATCAATCTGGTGTGCACTGATACTGAACATTGTAAAGAATACAGCAGACCATTCATTCAGAACTTTCTGCAACAGAAAAGTTCGGTAAGAAATCTTTCATAGGGTTTAACTGCTTAGTACTTCACATCATGTTGACAACCCATGGTTATAAAAAACAGAGAATAACGTACATTGAAAGTGGTCATGCTAGTGGGATTGAACATCTTAAAGCAGTCCTTTGATGAGGCATCAGGATCTCCGTAGATCTGCATATCAATGCCATAGTCAAAAGGAAATGAGTGAGTATTGATATCTGCCAATATTAAAAAGGAAATAAAGTTAATAAACTAGGCATTCTAAAGATTTTGAAACTCATGTCCTGTTGAGTTTATATTTTATAGTAACTACCGAGTATGAAATATATGGTATTTATTTGATAAATGTGAGCAATTTAATAGCTTTAGAATTTGTTTATTTCACTAATTTGAAGTATTTTTTGGTGTAGGAATTAGAAAAGAATAAATTGATTCTAAGAGAGGAAAAAAAATAAACTCTATTTCCAAAACATTTAACCCTTGTGTGGTTTTCTAGCAGATCTTAGTGTATAGTCCAATTAAGGTGATTCAAGCAGCATCGGAAAGCTAATTTAAAAGGCTACAGCTTTCACGAAGAGATTGAGGACTAATTTTTTTTGCCTAAGTTTATAGCTGGTTGAACTTTGAAGACAGAGGAACCTACTGCCAGAAAAAGCATTGCAAGAGTGGAACTTTAGTTTCCTATTTTGCACACAAGTGAAATGAATTTAGTCTCTATATTTTTGCATATGGATTGACTATTTAATAATGTCAATATGCAAGATGGTCCAGAAAAATATTCCTAATAGACGAAGACAAGATTTGGAGAACTTCAAGATTAGGAATGACTAAATTCCCTTAATTGTGCATCTTCTAGGACTAAGATTTTGAGCTATGAAAGGAGATCCTTGTGAGTTGCAGCAGCAACATAAATGTTTCTAGAGCATAACTTTAAGCAGCAAATGGTGTCTTCAACGAGAAAAGTAGCAAGAATTCCAGTGGCAAAAGTGGGATGTAACAAGGCTTCAAAGTGATGTCTTCACTCATGATTAATTTAATTGCTATGTTTATGACTATCGCAAGAAACTAGACTCTTTGTCTAGGGTTCTAACATATCCATGTGATTTATTTGCTCGTTTTATTATGGAACTTAGTTTTGCTAATTACTCAATTGAGTTTGGTTTATTCTGTCCATAGTCTTTTGATGGCACCCTATTCTATGGTTTGAGATTTCTCTCCATCATTGTTAAATATCCACAAAGAAGTGTTGAGGTATTAGCTATTTGGCTTTATCAACATATGGTCACATAGGAAACAAATATACCTGTGAGTAGGAAACCAATGTAACAACTAAATGACTAATCTTAATGGGTTGTATTCATCTTTGATTAGTATCGAAATATAGCAATAATATCAACAAATTATGCTCTCTAAAACACTGGAAACAACCTGGGAATATCTTTCCCTTTTGATTGTCACAACTCACAACTGATAACTTCAAACAAGGGAAAAAATTAAACTAGTAAATAAGGTTACATTGGTGAAGTTAGAACTCCTAGCCTTTATTTTTTCCCATAAATTTTCCTTAATAAATTTAATTGCTTCTTTAGCATTAATTTATATATATATATATTTATTGTGTTTACTTCTTAAATCTTTTATTTTCTATACTATCTGTCATTCAATCTAATAAAGATGTTAAGTTGTTCTTTGGTGGGTAGCAATTTAGATTTAGTCCCCTATTCATCATTCTATTACTTGTAAGTTGTGTGTACTTACACGTATTTGTCAGTCTATGTATTTACCAAAACAGGTCATCTTAAAATGTAAACAATGATGACACAAACCTCAAATGTGAAAGCCATAGGCACCCTCACAATGTCATACATGTAATCCGTTGCTGTACCGTGAGCTAGATACCTATACAGTACGAAACAAAATTAGCATGGGAAAAAAATTAGTTTGAAGGAAACAAAGAAGTAATGGTATATGAAACTCCTTTATTTGCCCTCAATGCTAACTGTTAAGAAATTATTTTCAAGATTGCTTTCACACATGCACTTGAAAGTTGGAGCTTGAAAAGTTCTTTGGAAAATCATTTTTCCAAACCATACTGCCTCCAGACTCCAGAGCCCCACCAGAAGAAAACAAGGAAGTAGTGATCTTTGAAACTTTGTTTTTTTTTGGTTGTGCCCTCAAAGAGTCAAAGCTAACTCTTAAGATCTTTTTTAAACAAGTAATTCTTTCCAGGATTGCTTTCACATGTACTAGAAAATTAAACCAGGAAAAATTCATTGAAAAATCATTTGCCTAAACCATACTGACCCTACAGACCCTCCACCAGATCCAACTAAGCAACGGTCATTCAAGTGGAAATGATTCAGCTTTTCAAGCACCATTCTCATCCTCTGGGAGAGAAATCCATCAGGAGTTGTGTTCTTGTGATCATATGGCATAAATAGAGCCTAAAAAATCAAAGAGAAGAATTGTTTCAAACATGAAAAACAAATTCTTGCAAGTGAGATGAAATTGGTTGTCATTTACTGAAAAATGGAATGAGAATACTGAAGAGATAGACAAAGTAGTAATGATAAAAAGAAACATACATACCAATACTGTCTATTTCTCTTGTTTCATTAATATGCATCAAAGTGTCTAGTCTTCCTAATTTACAAGTTGATTCTTCTACAAATTGTGTTTAATGTTGGTCAGTGCAAAGATATCATATTCTAGTTATAGTTTTATTTAATAAGCTCTAAACCTTTTGGGTGTTGTTCATAAGAACTGAGAATTATCTCCCCCTAAGAAAGAAGGTTGTTACATGGGAGAAACCTTACAAGTGCAGTCTAATCACCAACACATTTCAACCAAACAATTAAGGTAGGTTTCATAGTTCATACATTTAGATAATCCCCTTGATAATTACAGACAAATTAGATTCGAAGAACAACAGTAAAATACATTAATAGCAGCTCAAACTTGCCTCCATTCCGGAATGCACATTAACCCATACATGTGGCTCAAATGATGTAGATAATTTCCGCATTAACTGAGTCTCAGGCTCACTAAAGGGAGCAGTCCCAGGATTCTCTTCATATGGATCATAATCCTAAAAGGATAGAGAAAAGTGGGGAGAGCAGAGGAGTTAGCAAATATTAATATCATGTTATACTTGCAAATGAACCTTATAAGAAAAACACACACACACACACACACACACACAAAAGTTCAATGGGCAGAATCATTTTACAGATACACATTCATTAACCTATAATCTATCGTTTAAGAGTAAAAACATATCTCAACTGTTTCCTAAACACAAAAGCATAGCATAGGTGATCTGGCACATGGCAGGAAAGAAATTCAAAGACCAAAGTCCAATAAAGTGTAATGAACAGAATAGAACCTTAAACAACAAAATGTTGAACAAACCTTCTCTTTTTTGCCCCAATCTACACTCCAATTCCGATTGAGATCAACTCCTCTTCCTGAAAATATATTAAGTATTTTCATATCCATTTCACAAATAATTTGTTTTGTCTAGATAAAAATAAAATTAAAAAATTAAAAAAGGAAAGACAAACTGCAGAACCATTTCTTCTTTCACAAAGCTCCCCCTCCTCTACAAGTTTGCGCCCATTCACATTTTCCATTGGAACAATCTGAGAACAAGATACAAGGGAAGTATATTGATGAAGGATACAAAAAACATAAGAACCAAGATGGTTAACCATCTGGAATGGATTCATTTGGCATAGGGATTGAGCTGAAACAGATCTTACCTTAATAACAAGTTTGTCCAAAGTATTATTAAGTGTAAGTGGGTATTGCTTTGGTAAGAATTCTTCATCGCTTAAAATAGAAAGAATCCGTAATGCAAGCTCGGTTGTTATGAGCTCCCTCCCATGCTGCCCAAAAGTCTGGAACACAAGTAATTATCTGTCAAAAATAGAATGAATACCCAATCTGAGATTTTCTCACACTGTGCCTAATCAAATAAAAGATCTAACAAAGCATTAATTCAATGTCTTCATCTGAGTTACATGCATCACTACTCCTTCCCTCTCTTTCACCCCTCTTAACTGTGCAAAATATACTAAGTAATGCCTGAGGACTACTAAGCATTACAAATCACATCTAATAAAATAAACGAACACATACTGAGGGAAAGAACACTTACAAGGAGGATTCTAACTTTTGATCTATCATCGCAGTCTTTCCCACCTTGGCAATATGTAACTATAGTTGTATCAGCATGATACCCTCTATTCTTAGTAGAAAGGGTTTCAATCTGCATAAATTATGAATAATCAGAAGACAGAATCCAAAATCAACAAAGCAAGAAGGAAAAAGAGAAAACCAACAAAGAGTTTGTCTGGGTGTCGATGCACCAACGACTCAATTTCTTCCAGCAAAGCCCCACTGCAGAATACAAAAATGTCAAATGGGTAAAGAATAAATGCTCAAAACCCAAAAATAAATAAATAAATAAATAAAAGAAAATCAACAAGAAGAACTAAAATATGTAGTGCAACATTTATTAATTTAGAGTTGCCAAACACATATTCACCCACTTACACAATTGAAAAAAAGATGCAGTCTTTCCTAATTAGTCCAAAAGTCAAGCTACTGGTGAACTAGAATTAACCACAGCAGAGTGCAGAATAACTTTTTTCTTTCCTTTTAGTACAAGTGAATATGTCATGTCTTTAAAACCAGTATCAATCAATACCATCATAAATACCCAGAAGTTCCCGGCTGGATCTCACTAGTGAACGATTCAAATTTTCTGCATATTATTGTACTAATTGATAATTTAACATTCTAATTACCACGAATAAATGCAACTACTCAATTAACACAAAGAAAATAATGTAAAAGCTACCTACCTGGTATGATAAAGATCGCGATTGATGGGCGTCACAGAAGCTTGGCCCTTGGTGGCATTACTTTTGGCATTGACATTAGAAAAATAAGCAAAGGATGATAATAGGAAGAGAAGAGACAAAAAGGAGATCGACGGAGAGGAGAAGAGAGAATAGAGGCGGCGTTGGCGACGGCGGCCCATCTAAATCTGGAGATTGGTGAAGGGAAAGGGAAGAAGAACAAGGACAGCAGCTGTCGTCAGCGTGCTCATTTGAATCAACAGTACAATGTCGTGTCGGGACTCGCAAAATTTGAAACAGCAAATGTAAGGGAGGAGAAGACGAAGAAGACGACTTTGATTAAGGGAGGATGTAGCCTCCGTTCGTCGTCGATTGATCTAAGTTCTTGATTTTAACGGTTACGATGGTTGGGCAATTGGCCTGTGAATCCAACGCGCATTGCCGCATATCCTCTCTCTCTCTCTCTCTCTCTCTCTCTCTCGAGATCTCTCTTCTTTATTTACATGTGGGGTTAAATGATTGTTTTTATGTTTAAATTAGATTATCAACTTTGACGATTTTATTTAATTGAGTTATTCACGATTAGAATTTAAAATCAATGATTAAATTGAAAAAATTATTGTAGTCGGTGATTTTAATCAAAAGTTTGAGTATTAACTCATTTATAATTTATAAATTATGAAAATTTTTATAGTGTCAACCACATAATTATTATTAATATCAATTATATTTGATACAATTACGTATTGTTACTCTAAATAGGAAAATGATAAACGTTCTTTTCTAAAGGTTGAATTGCTAACTCCAAGGGCCCCCCACTCCCCAGCCCAATCATGGTAACTCATCTGAAAGGTTGAAATCGCCGAGGCCCCCCACTCCTCGGCCCAATCATGGTAACTCAGCTGAATCACATAGGTTAGACCGCTTACTGCGCACAAAGAGCCCCCTCACTTTGAGAGGTTGTGGTGAAACTCGATCACTGGTCATTCTTTCCAAACTTCACCCCTATGACCAACTGAGCTGTCAATGCGGGCAGAAAAATGATAAACGTAGTCTTATGAAGTGTAACTCTTTTTATGTGTACAAATTTTAATGGGTAAAAAAATAAATGAATAAAAATACAGAAAATGATAAATGTACTATCATGAAATATAACTCTCGTCACGTGTACAAATTTTATTGGATAAAGAAAAATAAATTTAGATCAATTAGAATATGGCACATCAACATAGAGTAGAACTTGCGAGTAGATATCGTATTACACTATTATAACTATGACCGTAGCGGTAACCCCAATTGAGTTGGTCATACAATTAGTTTGATAATCACAAGATTTCAAAACTGATTTTTTGTGAGAATGTAACCATGGACAATTTAGGGCAAATTATACCATGGACCAAGGTCACTAGTTCAAAAATGATATTATATACCTACAGTTAACATATTATGTACATTCAATCAGATTATGTACCTATAAATAAGTTGAAGGTGCATATTATGTTAATTGTATGTATATAATTTATTAAATGCAAATACATAATATGTTAACTGCAAGTATATATTAAATTAACTGCAGATATATAATATATTAATTGTAGTATGTACATAATTTATTAATTAAAAATACATACATAATTTAAATATTGTTTTGGATCGCTATTCACAATGTAAAGTTAAGTTGATGGTCTATGATATAACAATATAATTGACAATTTAGGCATAAAATCCCCCTGAATCCCACGAAATATGACTTGGACCCCACAACTTCAAGTAAATCTTAAATGTATATTATTAATGAGTAGAACTTCACCTACTATCACATTGTACTTATTTTGTTACTTTCATTAATGTAAAAATAGTTATTAAATGAGTTGACTCACATAACATGATATGAGTAATAAATTAAAACTATTGCAGCATGTGGTTGAAGCCCCATCTGATATATGATTAAAGTCTTTGTTGATGCAACGGTTTTCTCTTATCCTGAACAGGCTTTCTTTGGTTGTATGGCGATGGATAGCGATGGTAATTTTTTGACAGCTAGGAATGGTTTGATTCGGTGCTTAAATGATGCTCATTTGGTAGAAGTCGGGGCTGTTAAAGAAGTTCTTTCGTGAGTCAAAGAAAGAGGCTATGCTAAGGTCATGACAGTTTGCTCTTTGCTTAACAGTTTCAGGATTGATCTGTCTTATGCAGGCTGTGTCATTAATGCATGCAAGGAGTTTCGACGATACTTTGAAGCAGTGTCCTTTAAGTTCATTCCTAGCTAGATCAGCGGTTCATTCACAAATTGGTCCGTTTAATTGATTTTCTTCTATTACTAATTGTATTGAACGTTACCAGGACTATGTGGTCCAATGGTATCCGGGTTGGACTTCCATTTGGAAGATTATGGGTTCGAGCCTCAGTGGAGGCGTTATTGGTTCTCTGTGTTTCAGTAGGTTGAGAAAGTATATGAACAGATACTACAATGTAATAGAACCAGTAGCATTCAAAAAAAAATTGTATTGAACGTTTAATTTAATAAAAATTTTCTGTTGGTTTTTTTAAAAAATGATTAAATTGTTTTACACGCCACAGTAAATCATTACCAGCTACAAAATTACCAATTAATTTATTGTTGATAAATATTAAAATATAAATATAAATATTGTCCCAACATCAAACATTTTTTCTACTACACTACAAGTTTAGTTTAATAAGTTTATGTATGCATTAAACAGTTTATGCATGGGAATATGGGATTAACAATTGTAACTCGTACGTATATTAAACTTAACATATTGTTAGGAGATATTCCGTTCGTTATAAGTGTGCTTTAGACACAGCAAGGATGTGACCTATAAATGCGACTCAGCACCTTTAGCATGTACGATGTTTAATTTCTTTCTTCTTCTTCGTTTTATTTTATTTTTTTTTTTTAAATCATACCACACTAACATCCATATCTCATAAATTGTAAGTTATAACGGACTAATTTAATCAAGGGGTCTCATTGGGACAATTTAGGTTTCATATTTATGTATGCAGACACATTAACATATCAATTAATTAAAGAAAAATGTCATTTTTCCCTTTTGAATTTTTCTGCTTATCATTCCTTTCCGATGTTGTTTCAATTCATTGGGTGCCTATGAATTGACTAACCCCACCATTAGTTAAAAACAAAGTTAGTTGTTTAATTAGAAAATGTTATATAAGGATCAAGGAGAAGGTTGGAGTGAAAATTTTAATTTGGAGAGGTGGTAGCACTACTCTAAATTAAATAAAAAATTATAATCACTATTCGAGAGTGTGCACTAAATAAACACCACTCATGTGTAATAATCTGCAAATCATACTACACTAGGAAGACCACTTGCGATGGGCTTGTGCCACACTTATTATTATTATTATTATTATTATAGGTAAATTGCACTAAGAAAACAATGTGTGACGAGAATTATGTTATACTCACTCCCCCCACTTAATTAGCCACTCCTTTGTGTTCTTGTGTAATAGTTCGCAAATCACACAGGAGAGAGGGAGAGATAAACCGCACTAAGAAGACCATGTCTGACGAGACTTATGTTCCACTCACTTCATCACGGGTATTCTTGTGTAATAGTCCGCAAACCACACAAGAGAGGGACAGATAAATGCATTAGGAAGATCATGTGTGACGAGAATTATGTTCCACTCACTCCACCCACTCAGTCACCCCTTTCAAGGGTACTAGCCTAGGTTGTCCATAATTGAGTAATTGACTGCACTAGGAAGACCATGTATAACGAGAATTATGTTCCACTCACTCCACCCACTCAGCCACCCTTTTTGGGTACCAGCCTAGGTTGTCTATAACTAACTAGGTAAACCAGTCCAGGTCGTCAATAGTTGACCGGTTCAAACCAAAAAGGTTCATATTGGTCACTCTCATTGAAATCAAAGTTGTAATATTGTGGTTATCAAGTCAACAATCTGATCAACTTGGTTGAGGTTACCATTCAATATCTTGCAATATTGACTCCTTTTTTTTTTTTTTTTTTTTTTTTGGATATAGGTAGTTTGTAAATTTTACAAAATTATTTTATGTATTATTCGAATAAAATAATTTTACAAACTACTATTTTCATATTTATTTTAAAGTTAATTCCAGCGAAGGTCCCTTGTCTTTTGTGGTAATTCCAAGTTTAGTCACAAATTATGATTTTTGTCATTTAACACCTCATACTATCATATTTTAGACACTTTTGATCTTTCCGACAACTTCTTTAGCGAAAACTCTATTTTAGGCAAGAATTTTTTTGTCTCGTCACTTTTTTATTAAAAAATAATAATAATAATTTTCCAGTTTTCTTCTACTCTATTTGTTCCCTCCCAATAAGAAGAACCATCATCAGCTAGAACATCGAACATCAGCTTCATTTTAGTTATGTCTCTTTCATTGTCTTTTCTTTGCGCCCAAACCATGTCAATGATGATGAGCTTCCCCTTCATTCCATCATTCTTGTTTCTGATAGCTTATTTGTCTTTCTTCAGTATTTTCACGCAATCCTCATCACTCCAACTATGCATAACATGCATGCTTTCAATCAAATTGCCAATTTTTAGTATAAAAAGGAATATGTTATAAAGTATCATATAATGAAAGAAATTTCGTACCTTGAACATGATGGCTTCAACAGAAGGCCGGTATTCTGGCTTGTAGATATGAGCCTGAGCTTGAAACATTTTAATGGCGGCTTCTTGTTTACTATTGGCTTCCATCAAACAATTCACAAATTAAATAGTTGTGGGGTTCAATTGGTGTCGACGAAGAACCAAAAGTGATTTAGGGTTGGAGTTAGAATTTGGGGCTAAAAGAAGCATTGAATTGAAGAAAACGGGTTGGCCCGTGCACAAGAGAAGAATAAGAAAACTAGAAAAATAAAAAGTGGTAAGACAAAAAAGTCCTTGCCTAAAATGAAATTTTTCCAAAAAAAATTTTAAAAGTACCAAAAGTATCCAAAATATGATAGTCTGTGTGTTCTAAATGACAAAAACAATAATCTAGGATTAAACTTGAAATTGTCACAAAAGACAAGTAACCTTCGTTGAAATTAACTCTTTATTTTAATATATGATATGATTGCATCATATCGTCAGGACTAATTAAGAATCCTAAAATTAACCGATCTCATCCGATCCTCCTCTGTTTTTTTATCGCTCAAACTATAGTACTATTTTCCTCAGGAAAAAAATTAAATAAATTAACATTAAATAGCATTAACCATAGAATGAATTTAAAAATATATAAATAAATTGCTCTCATCACTCAATTACAAACAATAACCTTAGAATTAATTAAGTAGCATAAATATGATAAATAATTGAATTAAATAAAAAGAAACATAGATGTTTTTTTTTTTAATTTACACAAGGATATAAACAATTACTACAACAATCAGCACAACATGCGTACGTTAAGTAGTTACTAGTTAGTAAGTTTGATACAATCATGACATAAACATAATTGAATTAATTAATCCAAAATAAATGAATGAACAAACAATCTATAAAGAGGAAGAAAAGATCAAGTTTCAGTTTTTTTTTTTTTTTTTTAAACTATGAGGTGGTCCAGATCTTTCTCTGACCGTTTAACGGTTCAGGTCCACCCAACTAATCCTCATTTACTTCGAAAGACCATGTAATGGGATCTCATTTGCCACTTGAGCTACTACCCCGAGTTAAATTTCATTCTATTAATTGCCTATGCATACAATACAATGATTGCGTGTTTGTAAGGAAGGAATATATTATCACTAGCGAAACCTAAATCAAATACTACATATATGCTTGTCTGTGGGAAAGAAAAACCAAACACTTTATGCAATTGTAATTCAAGAGAGTACACTTTGAATGAAATTTACATTGTGATCTCAACTAATAAAAAAACTACAAAAAAATAAATTAACATAAATTGTCATAATTAACTAGACTCAAATCACCAAGACTATGTGGTCTAATGGTACCCGGGTTGGACTTCCATTTGAAAGGTTATGAGTTCGAACATCAATGGAGGCGTTATTGGTGACACATACTACACTATGTAATAGGGCCACATTAAAAAAAAAAAAAAAAAAAAAAAAAAAAAAAAAAAAAAAAAAAAAAAACTAGACTCAAATTAATAGATACTCCGTAATTTTCACGGTTTCAAATTTGAAACATTACGCATTGTACAATTGTACAAATATGAATTACTATAGTCAGTCACCTCGATTATGGAATAAACTTTTGCTGTTTTTACATTAAGATAATATGTTATTGTATGAGAGATTTAAATAACAGGATCCGTGGCGCAATGGTAGCGCGTCTGACTCCATATCAGAAGGTTGCGTGTTCGATTCACGTCGGGTTCAAATCCCTCGATCCGTATGCCTTTTAATGGAAGTTCCATTCATCACATTAATATCCCCAAAACATAGTTTAACTACGATATAGCCATAGGCGGATAGGCCTATTTTTGTCTTAGTTTATATACTTCTATATAAGTTCGATTAGACAAACCCTAATACTATAATAATCAAAGTTAGTGTTTTAGGTAGCACTACCTAAAAAATAATCATAATGAAAAATTATTATCGTTTAAGAAAAAAGAAAATTGTTGTTATTGGATGCATAGTTAAAAGACAACAATTTTTTATCATTATATTGTGTTTTATGTTAAAGACAATAGTTATTCACCGCTGTCATACATGATAGATAATACTTTTTGTTGGACTGCACCTTAGAGATCAGAGCTGAGTCCAGCATCCTATCATCGGACCATGGGACTGATTGCAAGTTGTGTATGTCTTCGCTACTATCTACAATTTTTTTAGCATAGTGACAAGTACTTGATTAAAAAATTGTTATCTTGAAGACAACGAATTTTCACCTTACGCTGATGAAGATGGAAGTGATTCTACAATTTTAGAGTGAATTTGCTAATTTATGATAATCAATAAAAGTTGGTTCAAAGGAGTTAAAAGTTCAAATAAAACCTTTATTTTTTCATATTATATGTTTGAATTTATTTTAAAGTGCCCTAACAACCACATTGATTGTACATCTCCTGGGAACCACAAGCCCCTTACAGGGCGTTTGGTTGGAAATGGAAAATTACGTGGGAAAGAAATTATAATTTCATGAGAGATGAATCACTGAGAATAAAGTGAAAATTTAAATTCCAGTGTTTGGTTTACAGGAATAGAATTACTATGAAATTCAATTACAATGTTTGGTATACATGGGAATTGAAAGGGAATAAGTAGTATAAAGTCAAAAAATGTACATTGATGTTGTTAGACATTAATTTTAGGTTAAAAAAAAGATGGGGTAATTTTGACTCATGACTATCTTTTTTTCTTCTTAAAATCCCGGGGGGGGGGGGGGGGGGGGGGGGGGGGGGGGATGGGATTTTAATTCCATGAAAATGGGAGAATTGTAATTTTATGGAATTGCAATTCCTTTCAACCAAACAAGGGAATTTTGTGGCCTTTGCAATTAGGTGGGAATTAGGTGGAAGAGAATTTAAATTCCATTCAACCAAACGCCCTGTTAGATCCATGATATAACATTTGACAATTTAGGCATAAAATCCCTATGAATCCAATGAAATATGTCTTGGATCCCATAAATTGATAAGTTATTATGTAGACCCAGATCTAAATATTCACAATTTACCTTTTAAAACACACCATGTTAACATATATGTAATTGACTATATTGTTTTGTATTCTGAAGCTCCTTTCAAATACTGCAGTCACACAATATTAATATTATGATTTGATGATCTTATATTGTATTCACAAATTTCATTCTATAATTGTTATGTGTTTTAACTTAAAAATACAATTTATATTCTAAAAGTTCACAGTTTCAATACTAAAAATAGACCATTTATACGTCGTTTAGGACCAGGGTAATGAGTAAATCTTAAATTTAAGTAAATCTTAAATGTATATTAGTAATGAGTAAAACTTGACCTACTATCACATTTTTCGTATTTTGTTACTTTGATTAATGTAAGAATAGTTATTAAATGAGTTGACTCACATAACATGATATGAGTAATAAATTAAAAATATTTTTTTTTTGAAAGTAAATTAAAAATATTTGAATTAATAATTAAATTGTTTTACATGCCACACTAAACCATTACCGTACCAGCTACAAAAAATTACCAATTTATTTATTGTAAATATAAATATTGTCCCAACCCCAAACATTTTTTTCACTACACTACAAGTTTATTTAGTTTAATAAGATTATGTATGCATTAAACAGTTTATGCATGGGATTAACAATTGTAAGTTGTACGTATATTATTAAACTTCAAATTAGGAGATATTCCCGTTCGTTATAAGTGTGTTTTAGACACACCAAGGATGTGACCTATAAATGCGACTCAGCACCTTTAGCATGTACGATGTTTAATTTCTTTTATCTTCTTCGTTTTATTTTATTTATAATAATAATAAAAAAATCATACTACACTAATATCCCTATCTCGTAAATTATAACTAATTTAATCAAGTCACACCAGGTCTCCTTCAGGGTAATTTAGGTTTCATATTTATGTATGTTGACACATTAACATATCAATTAATTAAAGAAAAATGTTATTTTTCCCTTTTGAATTTTTCCTCTTATCATTCCCTTCCGATATTGTTTCAATTCATTGGGTGCTTATGAATTGGCTAATCTTATCATTAGTTAAAAATAAAGTTAGTTGTTTAATTATAAAATGTTATATAAGGAGGAGAAGGTTGGAGTGAAAATTTTAATTTGGAGGGGTGGTAGGATTACTCTTAATTAAATAAAAAAAAAATTGTAACATAATATTTATTATTATTTTTTAGGTAATAAAGGAAACATGCAAGCTACCATCACTATTTGAGAGTGTGTACTAGGTAAACACCACTCATGTGTAATAATCTGCAAACCACACTACATTAGAAAGACCACGTGCGATGGGCTTGTGCACTTATTATTATTATAGACATTCACTAAGAAATCATGTGTGACGAAAATTATGTTCTATTCACTCCCCCGCTTAGCCACTCCTGTGTATTCTTGTGTAATAGTCCGCAAACGACACAGGAGAGGGAGAGATAAACCGCACTAGGAAGACCATGTCTGATGAGACTTATGTTCCACTCACTCCATCACGGGTATTCTTCTGTAATAGTCCGCAAACCACACAAGAGAGAGATAGATAAATGCATTAGGAAGATCATGTGTGACGAGAATTATGTTCCACTCACTCCACCCACCCACTCACCCTTTCAAGGGTACCAACCTAGGTTGCCCATAACTGACTACACTAGGAAGACCATGTATAACGAGAATTATGTTCCATTCACTCCACCCACTCAGCCACGCACACCCTTTTGAGGGTACCAGCCTAGGTTGTCCATAACTGACTGGGTAAACCAGTCCATGTCGCCAATAGCTAACCGATTCAAACCAAGAAGACCAACATTGGCCACTCTCATTGAAATCGAAGTTATAACATTGTGGCTATCAAGTCAATAGTTTGATCAACTTGGTTGAGGTTACCCATTCGATCGCTTGCAATATTGACTCTTTTTTTTTTTTTTTTTGAGATATAGGTAGTTTGTAAATTTTACAAAATTATTTTCTGTATTATTCGAATAAAATAATTTTACAAACTACTACTTTCATATTTATTTTAGAGTTAATTTCAGCGAAGGTCCCTTGTCTTTTGTGGTAATTCCAAGTTTAGTCATAGACTATGATTTTATGTCATTTAACACTCCATACTATCATATTTTACACAATTTTGGTCCTTCCAGCAACTTTTTCGACGAAACTCTATTTTAGCCAATGTCTCTTGTCTTTTGTGGTAATTCCAAGTTTAGTCACAAATTATGATTTTTGTCATTTAACACCTCATACTATCATATTTTAGACACTTTTGATCTTTCCAACAACTTCTTTAGCGAAAACTCTATTTTAGGCAAGAATTTTTTTGTCTCCATCACTTTTTTATTAAAAAAATAATAATAATAATTTTCCAGTTTTCTTCTACTCTATTTGTTCCCTCCCAATAAGAAGAACCATCATCAGCTAAAACATCGAACATCAGCTTCATCTCAATTATGTCTCTTTCTTTGCGCTCAAACCATGTCAATGATGATGAGCTTCCCCTTCATTCCATCATTCTTGTTTCTGATAGCTTATTTTCCTTTCTTCAGTATTTTCACACAATCCTCATCACTCTAACTAACTATGCATAACATGCATGATTTTAATCAAATTGTCAATTTTTAGTATAAAAGGAATTACGTTATAAAGTATCATGAAATAAATTTCGTACCTTGAACATGATGGCTTCAGCAGAAGGCTGGAATTATTGAGTGTTAGATTTCTGAGGAGCGAAGGGAGTTTATTAAGTGCATAAACAAGCTCCGGAATGATAATTGGTTTTCAATAGTTGTGGATTATGTATGGAATATTTAGTTGAGTTGTATCAGTGGCAAGGACCTTGGAGTTTATGTAGTTGTATTCGTGCTTGTAGATATGAGCCTGAGCTTGAAACATTTCAATGGCGGCTTCTTGTTTACTATTGGCTTCCATCAAACAATTCACAAATTAAATACTTATAGGGTTCGTTTCAATTGGTGTTGAAGAAGAACCAAAAGTGATTTGGGGCTGAAACTCTGAAAGAAGCATTGAAGAAAACTGGCTGCCCGTGCACAAGAGAATAAGAAAATCAAGAAAAAAAAAAAAAGTAATGAGACAAACATGTTGTTGTCTAAAATGGAGTTTCTCCGGAAAAAAAAATTATCGGATGATTAAAATTGTTCAAAATATGATAGTTTGGGGTGTTAAATAGCAAAAATAATAGTCTAGGATTAAACTTGAAATTGTCACAAAAAACAAGTAACATTCTCTGACTTATTTTTTAATATAAGGACTGATTAAGAATCCTAAAATTAACCGATCTTATCCGATCCTCCTCTAATTTTTTTTATTGCTCAACTATAGTACTATTTTCCCCAGGAAAAAAAAATTAAATAAATGACCATTAAATAGCATTAACCATAGAATTAATTAAAAAATATAAATAATTTGCTCTCATCAGTCAATACAAACATTAACCATAGAATTAATTAAATAGCATAAATATGATAAATAATTGAATTAAATAAAAAAATAAAACATAGATGTTTTTGTAATTTACACCATACAAGGATACAAACAATTACTACAACACTCAGCAGAACATGCGCACGTTAAGTAGTTACTAGTTAGTAAGTTTAATTTGATACAATCATGCATGACATAAACATAACTCAATTAATTAATCCAAAATAAATGAATGAACAAACAATCTATAAAGAGTAGAAAAGATCAAGTTTCATTCATTCTTTTTTTTTTTTTTTAAACATGAGGTGATTTTGTTTAACGGTTCAGGTTCACCCGACTAATCCACGTTCATTCCGGGAGGTCATGGGAGCTCATTTGTCAATTGAACTACCACCCCGAGTTAAATTTCATTTTATTAATTGTTTATGCATGCAGTACAATGACTGCGTGTTTGTATGGAAGGAGTATATTATCAGTAGCGAAATCCAAATCAAATACTACATATATGCTTGTGACCTTAATTGATAAAAAATTTTAAAGAAATAAATTAACATAAATTGTCATAATTTACCAGACTCAAATCAATAAAACTAATAGATAATTTTCACGGGATCGAATTTGAAACCTTACGGACTGTACAATATTTGTTCGATTACTATAGTCAGTCACCACGATTATGGAATAAAGTCAATAAACTTTTGCTGTTTTTACATTGAATAAGATGTTTCTGTATGATATATTAAAACAACAGGATCCGTGGCGCAATGGTAGCGCGTCTGACTCCAGATCAGAAGGTTGCGTGTTCGATTCACGTTACGGGTTCAAATCCCTCGATCCGTACTTTTAATGGAAGTTCCATTCATCACATTAATATCCCCAAAACATAGTTTAACTACGATATAGCCATAGGCCTATTTTTGTCTTAGTTTATATACTTCTATATAAGTTCGATTAGACAAACACTAATACATAACAATCAAAGTTAGTGTTTTGGTAGCACTCCATAAAAAATAATCATAATGAAAAATTATTACTCCGTATCATTTAAGAAAAAAGAAAATTGTTGTTAATGTATGCATAGTTAAAGACAACAATTTTTCACCATTGTGTTTTATGTTAAAGACAATTGTTATTCACCGCTGTCATACATGATAGATAATACTTTTTGTTGGGCTACACCCTTTAGAGAACACCCTACTATACATGTACCAAACTCCTTTTGGTTTTGACGTTAAAATTACTGTCTCTACTTATTTCTCTACTCATTTATATTTTACATTATTTACACGAATTGGTTATGTTAGCCTGTCACGGACTACCTCCGAGTCACAAAACCAACAATATTATCATTTAGAATTAATATTTACGGTTAAAAATGACATTCCAATAGAGAGAGTGAATTGGCACAAGCTTGATGGCCACAGAAGTCTGGCATAAATTGGCAGGTTACCTGAAAAAAGTTTAAAACTTGAAATTCCCTTCAGAAGTTGTGCAATCACTTGCCTTTGGGTCCCTTTATTTTTATCTTCTTTTTCTTTTAGAAGACTTTGAGCTCTACATCAACAAGTGAACTGTGTGCCAGTGTTTAGTTCCTAAGAGCTGTCTTGAAATTCAAAGCATTATTATTACTTTCAGAGGCAATTCAATTAGCCCCTTTAGTATCTATATAAGAAAAATAAACACAACACCAGTGAAGAAGCATGAATCCTGCTGCTGTAGAATAAAAGTTGGATTACATTTCCGTGCAGTTTAATTCTTCCCGCAAAAAACACCAGATTAGGACTGAGCAGTCTACGTAATTGATTATCGTCCGAGAAAGTGAAACAACTACGCGAAACAAAACAGCATCTCAACACAGCTAATGCTTATAACACGCAATACGAGAATTACCTAAACTAGAAGCAGTAGCAAACGAGTTGCTGTGGCAGTTTACGAGTCCTCCTTTGTGCTGGACACTGTAGCGTCCCGTTTCTCTTGTTGATTTATTTCTTCGACTCCCTCGGAAGGGGCCTGAGCTAGAGAATCAGGTTCCTTTTTCAGTTCTGTTTCGAATTCCTTTGCTGCCTGCAATCACCAAAGTCCAATGAAGAAGGCATAAAGGCAACAACTATAGTACTTCCAATCCTTTGTTTTCAAAAGGGAAAACCATGCCAAAGGCCTTGTGGTCAAGCGGCATAGCTGTGGCCCCTCAAATGAGAGGTCTCAGGTTTGAACCCCAGAGTGGGGACATTGTGCTTCAGTAGGTTGAGAAAGTATGTATGAACAGATACTACATCGTAAAAAAAAAAAAAAAAAAAAAAAGGAAAACCATAAAGGCTGGTTCTAGTGGAAATGAGTTATTAAGAAATCAAGCATAGTAATTGACTAATTGTCATGCCTCTTTAGTTCCTATTTATAGCTTTAGCTCCGCACTCTCAATATTTCTCTAAACACTTCCCCTAAAGCTTGCAAATATAGAAATTTGGATCCAACATAGCCAAGGTAATTGCTAGTACCAATCCTAAACTCTTGCGAACTTCTAGAGTCTAGACTGTGCTTTCTATATTTTCTTGGCTTTGAGATGTAGAGTTTTATATTTTCCAACTTTATTCGTTAATTAGGCTTTAATCACATGGTGAAATAGCATTTTCGGGGTTATCATCACATTTGCAGCTCTATATAGAGCATTGAAGATACAAATATGATGTTATTCAGAGTCAGCGATTAAAATGTAAGGCTAACTGTGCAACTGTGTCATAGTTAAAGCTCAAGAATAGAAGCCAAAACTCTAGCTAGATTGTAAGGCTATTTAGTTGGAACCTTTAGTGAAAAATTGGGAGAAACCTCATGCTTACACAAACCACAAGATTCAACTTGTGCTCAAAATCAAAATTCAAAACCAGAAAGCCACTCTACAAGATTGTTTCAAGTCCTCCGAGGCTCCAATTGACAGCACCAAATTACACTAATATCATTCTTAACATAAGCAACTAAGCTAGACGGCCTCCGCTATCTAATCCACTGTACTTCGCACAATTATCCTTAAAAAGGATCTCCAGTACTTGTTAATCTTTAAAGCTGTTGTGACCAAACAAATTGAGGCCAGTCAAGAACAAAGCAAATATGACTGAAATTAGGATCAAAACCACAAACTAGTAACCTTGACAGGCTGCAATAAGTGGCTTGTGAAGATATTTATACTTTTCAATAAATAATTTTCCCTTGAAAATTTCTCCAACTTAGCCTTAGACCTGGCAATTGTAGAAATGTAGCAAAACTACTAAATTTCCCCGTTATCCAACAAATCAAAAGCCATATATCTCTAGCTAATAAAAATTGAGAGTATTTGAGAATAGGGAAGCAAATATAGAAGGAAGAGTAAAAGTAGATGGAATGGGAGAGAATGAGAGATTTGACCTGTTGGAAGCCCTTAAAAGTCTTGCCAATACTGCGGCCAACTTCGGGAAGCTTCTTAGGGCCGAAGACGAGGGCGGCGACACCAGCAATGACCACCAGCTCCGGCACCCCAAGCCCGAACAAGCAGTTGCAAGAAAACCGCTTTCTGCCACCACTACTCCTAGCAGCTCTCTGACCCGAAACCATCCGGAGCCCCGCCCCGTTACTTCTGAGGAACAAGGAGCTAGAGGAAGACAAAGCAACAGTCGAAGACGAAGAAGAAGAAGTGAGCTTTGATGCGTGTGAGCGTGAGAGTGAGATGGTGGGTGTTACTGATGAGATTGTCGCCATTTCCACTCGCACTCGGAGCTTTGAAGAACAAAATCTTGAAGCAGCTTTATTTGGTTTTCTATCTTAAAGGAAACGTGTGCCAAATTGATGAGTTGTTGATATTTTTGCCGTTTCTGATGATTAGTAGTTGTTGAAACCCAATCTCACCAAACCTTATTTATTTTGGCACGTACAATACATATGAATCATATGTCTGCAAACCAAACATTTTATGCACTATATTTCTTTCTTCAAACATTATGATGTTGTTTTGAGTGAAAATAAGAGAATAATAGTTAATTGACCGACTAGACGACTTAATCGGTGCCTATGAAGCCTATCAACACCTAGACTAGGTGATCTAGTCGGTGCCTATGAGGCATATCAACACCTAAACTAGGCCGCCTAGCCGACCAGCCACCTAAACCACCGACAACTATACTAGGCAGCCGACTAAGCACCTAACACCTAGACAGAGTAGACGTCGATTAATCGGTGCGTAGCAGAATTTTTGCAACAATGTCTATTATTTATACATTCAATACTTCGATTCAATTTTGATTACTCAACTATTGAGTTTTTTCTATTTTTCATTAATGATTTCTAAATATTCAGAATCAGTTAATTTTAAACTCAAAAATCAATTTTATCTTTTAAAAAAATTCAAAACTATAATTAAGTCTAAAATATGAATAAAAGTACTCCGTAAAATCATATAATTATATTAATATAAGAAATGGATCCCACTTAAAAGATTCAACATGCGAATAAGCTGAACTGCATCCTAAAAACATGTTTAAACTTGAAAGTCTTGGTTGTTGTAGTACCAATTGTTGTCACCAATAAACTAATCAAAAATTAAATGAACTGAAAATTCAATTTCACACGTGAACAATCCTACTCAATAAAACAAATCCAGGGCAAGCACAGCAAGATACTAATGGTATTTAGGCTACAATTCCATAGCATATTTGGATGGATGGCAAAATTACCATACTATGGCTGTATGAGTATGGCATTTTGTTAATCCTCCTCCAGATTGATGGAGTCTTTGAATTTTGCATACAACGCCTTTTTCAGCTCCGCCATCTGGGCAACCACGCTTTCCTTCTCTTCCTCTAGTTTCTCCAGCTTCTTGCTAGTAACCTCTTTCATTTCCTCTATCCTGCTCTCCACTTCTTCCTTTGCCACATGTGCAAAAACCTCTCCTATCTGGAACCGCACTACCTCCTCGTCCGTGAGAATTAACTCGTTGCTTGCATCTTCCATATTTTCACATGTTTCCTGCCAATAATTTTAACCATAAAGTCAGTAGGTAAGCACAAAAACAATACGGAAATTGCATTTCCAAGATATAAAGTAGTTTACACCAATTGGCTGAGTTGGCCGACCGCCTAAATAGCGCCTAGGAGTGAAATTCCTTTGGCCTAGGGGCGGTAGCCTAGGCCGATTTTTACAACACTGGTTTACACTTGGCTTGAATAATCCAGCAAAGGCAGACATAAACATCATAAAATACAAAATGCAAAGATTATATAACTTGAGAAACAGGTTAAAGATCATAAAACACTCTGGACATCAGAGAAAGATCCAGAGTGTATGGGGGTAAACACACAGCAACTGCGTGTGAATCAATGCATGAACCTAGGGGGAACATAGTGGTGAAAGCTACATACTGGAAATCTGTAAAAGAATTTTCTGTTTTTTTTTTTAATTTTTTCAAGCAATGATCAACCATTAGAAGATTGCGACTAATGTTGACCAAGTGCTCACCAATGAACTTCTAAGAAATGAATCCAGGGCTCCAGGCCCAGGCACCTCTCTTAAACCAAAGGTAAAAATTTCCTCAAACAAAATTGTTAAGTTGGTTAGTAATGAGTTAGGAACTGTCAAGCTCAAGCCTTGGAGCACCATTTATTTAGAATTATGGGTTTACATTAGTTAAGTTGTTTTAGGTTAGCTTTGTATTACTTTACTTTTGAAAAGGCCAAGGGTACTTTTGCAATTGACTGTTATGCAGTAATTCAATGATTTATGGTACAATAGATCATCAGTCTGGACCCTAAGCATAGCAGGAACTTTGTGCACTGCCCCTTTTAATTCAATTTCTTGCCGATAGGTTTGGAATCAGAGCTTAACTATTTCTGCATTTTTTTTTATTGCTATTTGAATGTATTATTAGTCAAGATACAGTAGTTTCTGAAATTTGAGTTTTACTTTAGATCTTTAGTTCAAAGATTACTACATCTAGATTCTAGAATTTAGCATTGAAGGAATGATAAAGAATTATCTCCTGGCATCTTTGATGTCAGAGACTAGAGTTGCACTTAATGTGTGACGCTCATGAGTAATGGAGAAAGCTCTGTTTTAGATGAAATTTTCTTTATGTTCCTACATTCATAGTCATTCATTTACTTTTTCTGGGAAGATTTATGCTCTTTTTCCTTAGTTTTCTGATAAGTAAATTGTTACAAGTAGAAATGAGAGTGCACACCTTAAGAATGTTAGGTACTTACAAGAGAAACCCTAAGAATTAGACAATATCTCTAATATCTGCCCACAGTGTGGGGTGGCATGGCACCTGATGCATGAGGCTGTTAAGAGTTGGCTACTTGGCTATGGATTCAGTATTCACCCTGTACAGCCAAGAACAGTGGGATGGAAAACACCTAAAGAACGGTTCTAAAAGCTAAACACAGATGGTGCCAGGCACCCAGGCAAGAACCTAATCAGCTAGCTACTGCTGGAGGTCAGATTAGAAATCCACAAGACCAGATGATTGGCCTTGAACCAAACATTAACTAGTTATTTCTACATGCTAAGGATAGAGGGATAGCAAATTTTGTTGTGGAATTGCACTCACCCATTGCTGTGATGGGATTCAAGAGCTCACAGCGAAAAGGGGCTCGCTTCTATAGTTCTGGCAAACTGTTGGAAATAGGTTTACAAGTACTCTTTATACTAGTTAGGCATGCATTAGGAAAAGCAACTATGGTTTTGGAGATTCCAGCTGGAACCTTTGTCTCTGAATAACAACCCGATGGCATCAGGAGCATTCTAGCAGAGGATGCATTAGACATCAAGGTAATGAAACTTTAGTCCCTCATTTTTCTTCTGATGTGCCCCCTCCCAAAAAAAAACATAAAAAGGAGAGAGAGAGAGAACCTTAAGACTTAAGAGCCAATCTAGAACATGAAAGACATAAAACAACTGTTTACCAACTTAAAACCCAAAAACCATAAACAACCCAAGTACACAAATGGGTTCCACATCCTGTATACTACAGCTCTCTACTTGCTTCAATGTTTCTCTTTGTTAATCAATGGAAATCACATCTACGACAAAGAAAAAAGTAATATACCAAGAAACAATCATGCTTCTAACAATGCACTTTTCACCATAGTCATGATAATGTGATTTATCCAACTCCCAATATAATTTCCCTATTTTGCTTCCATGTAAGGGTCTAATAAACGTTTTTTCATTCATTTATATTCCATTCTATCATTATTCGCGAAAAATGAAGTAAATTGTAAATGGAAACACTGAAAAAGTAAAATTATTACCTTAGCGACCTTGATTTCATCTTCGAGTTCATGGAAGCGAGTGTTAAGTCGGCTGAATTTGTTGATTTTCTGTTGATCCTCCCAGGTCACTTCCACTTCCGAACTCGAAGCTCCGACCTTCGCATCCATTTATTCCTTGCCAGTATTAGAAAAAAAAAAATCTATATATTCACTATAAATCAGAGAAATCGAAAGGAAAACTCACCTGCTGCATGTTTAACTTGGACCGATTGAAGATGGTAAGATCGTCTTCGTAGGTTTTGTGGAAACCAGAAGAAAGATGTGATTCGAACAAGACTGATGAGAGTCGGAGAGGGTTGTGTTTTTTAAGATTTGCATGTTACCCCTTATTATTTGAAAATATTACTCATTGAGTCATTGATCATTACTCTATTGCATATTTGCATGTTACCCCTTACCCTATTGGTTAGTACTGTACAATTTTTTATTTCCTATTACCTATTTTTCATTCTCAATTTTTCAAAAATATTTTAAATGTTCATTATGAAAACTAAAAAGCATATTCAAATTTAAGTAACTTTTAATTTATAACATACAAAATTATTCCCAAAAAAATCATATTAAAAGAAAAACGTCAATTATAAGTGATAATTATATTGAGTAGTGAAAGTATTTGGGTTGGGTTGGTAGTATTCATATTTTATTGGAATAAGGGCCAAATTGGCCACTGAACATAACAGGAAAGTGCAATCAGATCGTTGAACTTAAAAAACGTACAATTAGCCCACTAACGCCTAAAATGTCTTCAATTCTACCAGATAGTCGGTTTCCACTCTTTTTTCCAGGTTGACTGCTGACTGGGATAATTACCTGGCATTTTTTTATTCTTTTCATTTATTTTCTTGTCTTCCTCCTCCGCTCTCTTCTTCTTTCTTCCGCTCTCTTCTTTTCAAATCCAAATGCCGCTGTGACCCGCCGCCGCTCGTGGTACTGCTTCGTCGAGCCGCCTCACAGCCCCGACAATCCCACTACTACTTCAGCTGATTTCTCTCACAAGACCAAATCCCCATCTTCCATTTCCCATTCCTTCCCCGCCTCCCCCCTCTCACAAACCCAACATTAACACTCTTGTTACTCGAACTACTCGCCGGATCCTTTTCCCAAGCTAGGTGTCTCCTATCGACGTAACCCCAGCTCCCAATCCTGACGGAGGAGTGCGGTCCCGAGGGAATCTTCGACGCGATGTTGAGTCTCTCTCAAGGGGAGTAATGGGAGTGCCTTGGTGCTGGAGCTCTCCGCTGAGACTCTCGCTGCTAACAACTTGGTATTTGCCGACTTGCTTGCGGGTTATCAGAAAACACTGTGTGTTCCCAGCCTAAGCTTTTAGTTGGAAATACCCACAATTTCTCACGTTTCTTGGAGCTATCAAGAATTTTCCAGGTAAAAGATGCAGAATGCTCTGTTCTTTTGGAAAATTTGGTTATATTTTAGCTGTTATAGTTGTACTTTCCTCTGCATTTTTTGGTTTTGAAATCTCTGGGTTTGATAGAAGTAAGAATTTATGGGTTTTTGCATTTGGGTTCTTGGAGAAGTATGGTGGTGGTGGTAGGGACAAGTG